AAATATATTTTCATGAACCGTTGAACCTTGGCTGAGGAATGTGAGTGACATTCTGGTTCCTTCCAGCAACCTCTGACAGTTGTGCATTGCAAAGTAACGACACCACTACTGGAATGATAGAAATTTCAAATATGGGTAGAAACCAGAGCTATTTTTTACATAACATGGGCTGAAATTCGCTTTGCACATTTTTCCTTGACCAAGAAAACCTAAATGAAGACAGCAGCAGAGGGGTTATATAATCATGAGTCACATGCCTGTCTTTTTCCTACTCTTTCAAAACTATGTTCAGACTTAGAAATAATAAATCTGTTGTTTAGATGCTGAAATCACGTAATTTTTCCCAACAAAGAGAATTGATAGATTAAGGGGATGAATATAGAATCAGACTGATACGCTGATTTGATAATGGCATTGTTATTGATCAAAAACATATAATCAATTCTGATCCATACCACTCAGTGATTTGCAGCATTAGGTCTAATACAGTAAAAATGGTTCTAAGGCTAGAAACAGTGGGTTTAAAAAATATCTGATGGGATATTGTCATTAGCTCTTAGCACTATTCTCTTGATATTCTGCTCAATAGAATTATAGCTTTTATTCACCATGGTCAGATTTAACATTATGCAGTTCATTGCATTATAATACCAGTGATACTGTGATTCAACATCAAACTGACACTGTGCAGTACCACTGATACTGTAAGTATCTCAAAGTGGGAAAAATAAGCTTTTGCATATGTTGCTGTGTCATCTCCGGTTATATCTAAAACTGCTAAATTGTTTTTGACTTATGAAATCAATTCATTGCTGCTGAAGCTGCACAGCCTCTTTTCTGACAGCTGATGTTTTGAGGGTGTTCGGAAACCTTGTTTTCTTGGTCTTCAAGTAATTGATTTAGATTGGTCATGGTTATTCTTATGGTTTTAGGCGATTGGTGTCATTCAGGGCCATTCAGATAATTTTATAAACTGTCTTACATGACTACTATAAAATGTATTCATGATTTCATCAGTGCATTTGCTATTTGTCACATGTTGTTGTGATAAAACATGATTTCCTCTGCCAGGAAATCAATAAAAGATATTTCTAATGATTCTTTCCTGGGTAAATAAATAGCATGTATCATATATATCAACATATAATATATATTAGCTTTCATGGACTGCAACACATGCAGTTACAAGCCAATGACCTAATTCTGCAGAATGGTTGTGTATTTGTGTAGGCCTGCTTATTATACCACAATGATAATTACTATAATAATTACTGATAATTTAAGATGACCACTAATGGGACAAAGACTGAAAGAAGTATCTTTGAACAAAAGACAACAGAACATGTGTAGATCATCTCCAGCAGTGACTCTTGACTCTGATGGGCCCATGTGCCATTTAAATTCAGTTTCTATTGGAATTAAGAGAATTAACGCCAAGGCTTGACTCTTCATTTACATAACTAAGGAACAAGGATCCCTGATGAGAATACCAATCAGTTTGAGAAGACCAATCAGTGAAATGAAGCTGCTATCTTTGGGCTCATACTGACATCTATGTCTTTGTTCATGCAGGAAACAAACCTGTTTATTTTGCTCAGTGTAAAGCATGTGGAGAACTCGGCTCAGTCAGGTAGGAGAAATGGGAGAAGTGGGTGACTTTGAGGAGGTGATTTTTCACTGTTACACTGGCTATAAATTGTCAATCAATTTTTGTCAACTTTGGTATGTGTCCAAACTCCTCATTCCTCCCTCCTTCAGGCATCGTGTTGATATCGGGTAGCTTCTGGTGTGACAGAGGTCCTGGTTGCTTGGCAACAGGTACAAGTATAGAGTCCAGTGTGACTGTGACGACCAGGGTGAGAGGAGAGGCTGACAAGCCTGTGCTGCACACACACGACCACACAACCAGACAGACACACACACACACACATGCACACACACGCATGCACACACACGACCACACACACAATTTGATGTGTGCCTCATATGTTTCTTGCAGGAAAGGGGATTAGAGGGAGCCATCAGTAAACTCCTCAGGGCAGTGCTGACATTAAACAGCACAAGTGTTTGAGAGATCGATGTGGGTACCTCGGAGCGGCCATACCTCTGGACAACCACATGTCCTTCATAAATGCACAGTCCCACATTTAACACATTCATCATCAAAGACAGCCGGACCACAGAGTGATGTGGGAAGCTGTGAGGGGGCTCTGGAACTTCACAGGGTTAGAAAGAGGCGAGGCCCCTCACAGCTGCACCCGACACGACAGATTTGTTTCATAGACAAATAAACACGGACTATAACGGCTCATAACCACATGGCAAATAGTCCGTCATCATTAAACGCTAGCTGAGGGAAGTCGCATTGGTAATACGATTTTTTCCCATAAACTCTGCAGTTAAAGGGGCACATCTTGACAAATCTTGCTATTGACAAAAGAAAATTCATACTCATCGTATCAGAGGGAAGCACTTGACTTCACAATGACACCAGCTTGCACACACAGACCTGCAAATAAAACGTCAAGCAAATGGCGCGTTTACATGCACTTAAATGAGCAGTTTATTCAAAGAAACCAGGTTTACTGAAGAATGTGTTTTACATGCACTGTAGTGATCTGGTCCTACAGTCTGATTTCTACTAAGGTTGGACTATATGGCCAAAAGTTGTATTGAGATAAAAATGCTCATATCAGTTAAGATAGATAATCATGATGATTGCCACGTTATTAATTCTTAAACATGTTTTCCTCCTGAGTGAAGGATGTGACTTTAAACTCTTCATGAACAAAGACAGACAAACAATTGACAGCTAAATATTCTATAAATCCGAAGTCGATCAATAAAACATTATATTGATATATATTGGACTTTTGTTGTTTTGCTATTGATGGCAATTATATTTCAATAAGGCACACAGAGTGAAGCTTTCCCTTACAGTGACAATGCCATCAAATGTTAAGACATTCTGGGGACTAATTTCTGTTAATCTCAATTTCAGTAGAAGTATTTAAAAAAACAGTTACACCGTGTCTCTAGCCCATTGTCATGCACACATGTACATTTAAAAAGCTGATAAGAAACCTGGTTATGCGTAAACATGGCAGACATATTTGTTCTCTCCAGGACAACTCCACCTGGGGAAACCGGATTTCTCTAATCTCCTGCCCCACTTTCAGAAATCAGGTTTCTTGTTTAAATGGCATTTAGGAAAGAAGCTTAGAGTAGAAATGTTTCTCCAGTGCAAGTAATCACACTTTAATACAGGATCACTGTTACTGAAGAAACTCACAGAACGATAACACAATAATTATCTGCTTAAATGTATGTCAGGGCTCACAAATGCTTTACCTTTATTTGTAGAAGCAGTTCTTTAAGATTTCAAGAGCCAAACACTCTTATCGGCCAAAGGAGTGTTGATATTGGCAACATTTTTATTTGCAGCCCCCTCAACAACTGTGAGGAGAACCGAGAGAGCAGAACTGTTATTGAAGCAACACAAGAAAAAAGATAGCATTGGGAATTGATCCGAGTTTATCAGTGTTGACTTACTGACAATTTTCCCTAAATGGTCCAAAGCCTCAAGCGCTCCCTCGTGTGTTTGCTTTCTGTTCACAAAACGGGAACAATAATTAACTTTTCATTCTCTTCTATTGCCTTTATTCACAAGGGCCTGAATCCAAAACTAAGCCAAATGCAGGAAGAACAACAAATCAACATATCATATCAAACAGCTGAAGTCAGGATGTGACCGGCTGACAGGTTGTGACATGAGGTGATGAGCTTCCACTTGTAAAGAAAAAAACTTGACTCTCTAGAAATACAGCCAGATTTTTGTGTCTTCTAATATCTGCAGCACAAAGAAATAGTTCCTGTTCTGCAAAGAGCTGCAGCTCAAATCCATAACAGTGTCTCAGAGTCACTCATATAGCAGAGAAAAAAAGAAAGATCAAAATCTCGGTGTGGTAGAATATTAGTGTTCGTTTGTAAACTAGATCAGAAACACTCACCTACCAAAGGTGGAGCAGACACTTTTTCTGCTTTTAACAGCTTCCACTTGTGTTTAAGTATTGGACATTTGGTCATATATCCTAACTAATAACACATAATACATTGTTTTGTTCTTGTCCATACTGAAGACATCATTCAAATATTCAGTGTAACTTGGAAAACAAGATTAGAGTGAGGCTCGGGACACTTTTTTCTGTCCAAACCAGGTCTGAGAAAAAACGAACCCAGTTTTTTTGAGTCTGAAACTAAACCGGGCCACATGTTTTTCCTGGTTACAGGCACACGCAATGCAAAAAATCTAGTAGATAGCTCAGCCAATGTGACAAAACTCGAATAATGTTTCAAAGTGATATTCGACAGATCCCTGCATTGGGTCCAGTATCCACACTCTGTCTGTCTGTGTTGAGCTCGGCTGTTATGTCCATCTTTATATAAATGTTTTTGTTATATATAGTAACAAATCGGAGCCAGGCTCTGCGTGTGACTGTGTTCCCACTTCCCCCAGAAAAACCTGTCATTCTCACGTTTCTTGTTCCCAATCAGTTGACAGGCTGTGAATGGCTGCTTTGAATTTGCAAATCGCTGCTGAATCACACCACATCAGTGTCATATATGTTTATGACACCGATGGCGGAGGCGGGGGGGGGGGGGGGGGGGGGTTGCAACACAACAGAGAGAAAAACAAACAGGTCTCCAAGGTGATTGAAAGATTTCTGAGAGTGAAACCAAAGTGCTTATTATGAGACTGGCAGGGTAAATAGGCTGGAGGATGAGCCAAGAGCCTCATGGAGCACAATAATCACTGGAAAATTGCAAAGCTCAGTTTCAGCACGCAAACACTTTACATAATGTATCTAAGGAGCTGCACATGTCACACATCTGCAGCAAAGATCCAAAACCAGGTGAAAACTCAGAAAAAAACACCAGGAAGAGATGAACTAGAGCCAGACTGGAATGGAAATAAATGATTCACAGTATGTGTTGTGTACCTGTGGCTGGGTCAACCGTCCGCTCAATCAAATGGTCGTCCTGGTGGACCCACTCGCCGTTGCACTTGAAGTAGATCTGTGTGGCCGGCGTGGAGCGGCAGGTCAGCGTCACCGGCTTGTTCTTCACGATGAACTCGTCCTCCGGCTCCACCAGGAAGTGAGGTAACAGATCAGAGAAGGCGGCGGGGAGCGTCGCCGTGGCCGTGTGCTCGGAACCTTTAGGGAATAAAAAGCGGAAGAGGTTTTTAGAGGCATGCCAAAACTGAAAAAGCGAAAAAAGCTTTTAAGTTTTCAAGTTGACATGTGGCACGAGCTGAACCTTCCCCCATACTCTGCTGTTGTGACTGCAGGACGAGTGAGTGAAAATGCAGCAGACACCGAGTATCTAATGCAGAGATTCAGTGTCTTTGGAGAATTGGTGCACAGTAAGATTGCATATGTGAGAGGCTGAACAAGACAGATGGACAGAGTGTGTGACAAAGAGAGACAGAGCTGCATGGAGGAGAGCTGGCAGCGACAGAGCACGGCCCTGTGCGCTCATGAGTGGGTTGGACCCAGAGTGGAGTCGGTGTCTTTACTCCAGCTCTTAATCACAGCCCTTTAACATCCCCGCTGAAGGACTAGCGGCCATAAATCCTGTCTCAGCGACTAGGCCACTCCTCACTGTGTTATCGTCTCTTAAACCGGGTCTCTAACCCACATCAAGCAAAAAAGGGGAGTGAGGCAGGGAGGGTGGAGAGATGACCGACAGCTAGACAGCCAGTTAACTTGAAATCAAATCTCATATATAGGAGATGATGTTCTTATTTTTACTCCTCTGGAATCTAACATGAAATGTATGAGATGTGAGGAAAGAGCAGGGAGATGCAGGAGCTGCACTTCAGTGGGACAATTCCACAAATTACAGCAAATATTTAACGCTTGGTGAAAATGTTCAACACAAACGCCGGATGACACAATTGGAGCCTACAGCATGATGCCTCCTCCGCGAACACAGTGTCTCTCTCTCTAAACATATTAGCCTTGTGCGAGAGATAAGTAGAAACGGCGAAATAACCTCCTTACACCGCTAGCACTCAGGGGAGACCAGTAAATCCCAAAATAAAACCCCTTTAAAAGGAGTGTAATATTAATTTACTGCCCTGAATCCAATATGGCTGACAGACCAGGCATTAACAACCTTCTCCATCACTCCCTGTGCAGCAGGAGAGCACGGGAGTCCACATCTCTCATAATGAAACGGCAACGCTCTCCCCGACCTCTGTCTCCCCTAGCTTCCTCTCCGCCCTAACCCAGCCTGCGTTCATCCTTGCAGATTGCTGATGCCCAGGTCAGGGATAATATTATGTTGTGTCATAAACACCAATCTGTCAGTTCCTCCCCCACTACACACAATGTCTCTCTTTCTTCTCCCGTTATTTTTCTATTTTTTCACCCGTGTGCTGAGTTGCTAATTTATCAGGATGAGCTACGGTGAAGCACGCTGCTGCCACCACCACTGCTGAACCCCATTAATGTTTTGTGTACATGTTTAACTCTTAATGAAAACTAAATGTTCTGTGTCCAATGAACGACATACATCACACGCTGACACTTTGCCTTTTCTCCCCCCATTTTCCGAGCACACTTTATGATTGCAGTGCATTTGCAGAGTCGGAAATGTCATTAATGTGCCAGCTCTCTATATCCAGGACAACACAGCTGCCTGACATTATTTATTCTATGTATGTGAGAGTGCATCGAGGAAAAGGCCACAGTTCATCATGAATGGTGAGTATAATTGCTCTAACGAAGAGCCAAAACTTTGCTAAAAAACAGCGTGGGACCAGCAGGTCAGGTTATTTGAAAGTGCGCTGGTCCTAATGATGGCGGCTTCTTCTAATGGGCCGCCTTCCAGCTCTGTGACCACGGCTATTAGCTGGCCGGGCTGACCCTCTGTACTCCCCGCAGACTGAAGACGACAGCTCGGTAAAACAGTGGGTGAGTCTCACCTCACACCTGCCAGGTTAATCATCTCACAGAGAACGGATGATGTTGAAACAGAGAGCGGAAAAACCGTAGCCACCTGAGACGCCCGACGGGCCGCGAGAACGGCTGTGGTGAACTCATGATGCTGTTGACTCGCTGCCGGCTCCTCATTTGCAGAGGTCACATTCAACGCCATCTCTCAACTTTTGATGATGTTTCCAATTTGTGTTTGTGTGTGTGTTTGTGTGTGTGTGTACTTGTGCGTGTCAAAAGGAATGGGGTTAGTCTTCCATTTTAGTACATGCACTTTAGGTTAATGAGGTTAAACACGTAATTTCTTTAGAGAAATAAATTGTCATTTTATGAGCAGGGGATTCCAGTCACGTACTGCTTTATATCAAACCCATAATGGAGGACTGATGCGCAGTAAATTGGCTGAGATTATTGTCATGACACAATGTACTTCAAAGTCAACGTGCACATACACACGTGCACGCACACACTGGGAGTATCAGCTACTTAACAGACTTCTTGCGGGTCAATGCACAAATCAAATAGACATACAGCAGCACTATGGGCACTGCATTATACTCCACTGAATGTGATTGGCTAAAGCAGCCATTAATTGTTAAATGTATCTGAGTGCATTGCCAGATCATTTTGTAGACACACAAACAACCGGCGCGGCACGCTGAACGTCTCCCGTGTTGATCGTTGGGCCAATGAAGATGATTTAATTGATACAACATGCTGGATGTGTTGCTGGGGCCCAATAACCGTTACATAGCTCAGCGTGGCTCCCTGCATTTCTATAAACAACAATCCAGGAGAATCAGTTTGATTCTTGCACTCAAAAAAAAAAACCTAAATCTAAGGTTGCGACCTGATATTTGTCTGCAGCTGCCATTCTCTCCAGAGACAAATCAACTGACCTAAAACGCATGCATGCACAAACCAGAGAGACACGCAGACACGAACGCACGACAAGGATGCAGCAGCTGTCAGTGCGCTGAGCCATGATGGCCAGGGCAGAATTCCTGCTGCACACAGACCCCCACTTCTCATCTGTCCAGCTGACCACATCACCTCCTAAGTCAGGGGCTGGGCACGTTTGCATGAGGAGGAGGAGGTGAAGAAGCCATGATGAAGTCAAACACACTTAAAAATAAACAGTATCTAACAAGAAGGTCACTCAGTAGAGTCCATGCATCTGCCCAACAGTCCCCTTATGAAACCACATTTAAATTCACTAAATACAGATTGTCATTTGGATCTGCACCAAGTTGCACACACTAAAATATCAGTCCCCTCACATGCGGTGGAGCTGCCCAAAGGTCCAGGAGTTTTGTTGTGCCATACACATCACGTAGCAAAATAGAATTGGCTCAAATATCCCTTCCTCCCTCTGTTTATTTTGGGTGACCCCTCTGCATTAAGTAAGTTAGTTCAGTAAGTGAACCCAGATGGCCTTTATGTCAGGGAGGAAGTTTCTGGTCAACGATTGGAAGTCTACTTTGGCACGGTCACCATCACTGTGGCACGTCTCTCTTGGTCACCTGCTGCCCCAGAATCATTATCGTATAGGCTACCTGATAAGATGGAGGACTGTGACTTGAACTGAGGCCTGTATTTCTCTTATAGGCACTTCCAGCTCATTAAAATAACTTTCAGTTATTTATTACATATCAAATACTTATCAGATATGCATCTACTCGAGACATTTTTTTTTTACATTTGATTTTATATGTATT